GTGTGTGTGTGTGTGTGTGTGTGTGTGTGTGTGTTGTTCTACCTCTCAGCAGGAAGACCGATGACTAGCAGGTTGTTGCGCTCCTTCCAGTAGCCGACGTGAACCAGATGTTTCCCGAGCCAGAGAGACGAGCTGATTGATGGAATGAGAGAAATGAAAGGAGACGGGTAAGAAGAAGGACAAACTCAGGAAATAAAACCAACAGAAGAGGCTGAGCGTGGGATTAACGTAAATAAAAACTAACTGTTATACATTGAATGACAGGTTATTCTTGTAGAAATACAAATAACCATTTCAAATTATGTTTTATGTAGCATTTAGAACATACACAACCTAATGAATAATAATAATAATAAAAGATTACATTTTGAAAGACATCATAGCATTCTTTTTTTGCCTTACCTTTTGCCTTATCAGCAACTTTTTCATTTAGTATTTCTTATAAATACTTTTAACACAATCCAGCAAACCAAGTAAAAAAACTGAATGCTCTCACTAAAAATCCAGTTATTTGACTTTAAAATAAGAAAATACAGAAAAAGATAATTAAAATCAATTCTGCTTCGCTCTTTCCACATCAAAATCAAAGATTACTGAAAYATTCAAACTTAATTTTCTYGTCTTGAAAGCTGGCCAGCTGTCATGAGAAGAAAGCACTACATACARACAAAAAGAGAAACCATAAAGCTGTTACATGTTAAATATGAGACCAGATAAATGGTAAAGAGGGCCAGATTTGGCCCATGGGCCTTGAGTTTGGCACATGATATTTTCTTTGTTTAAACATAAAGGCTCTTTTAGAAGAAAGTACCACTAAAAGATCAAACAGCCCATTCCGTGTTGATGCTCTCTGGCAGTTCCCCTGCACCTGGGTGGTCCTTGAAGGTTTCAGTCAGCACTATGCCACCCCACCGTTTGAGGAGTCAACAGTAAAGGATGGAGTGGGGTGTTTCAGTCCACCCTCTCCCTGTCTCTGTCTTCTAAATGGACCGAGGTGGTCCGAACACGCAGCAGTAATGATAAGGGGCGTCTTCTGAAAAAAGCCATGAGTTGATCCCCCTTTCTTACCTGACGATCTGCCCCCCGGTGACGTTCTCCAGCATGTCACAAAGAGTGAGGAAGATGCCCCTCACTCCTTTCAGCCGGCTGGACGCCTCAGAGACGGGGTACTGGTACAGGATTTCCTCCTGAGAACAAAAAGAAAGATGCTGGTCCGTGTTGTGAAAGCCGCACATGGTGAAGACAAACATTTATGGTCAGCTTAGACACAAAAATGCAAAATATCCGATCTTGGATGGTAGAGAAGTTTTTCTTCTGTAAATTATAGACAAACCACCGGCCTATCTTCTAACCAAAGCTTCACCCTGGAAAGAACAAACTCTTATTTTGAGTGTGAATGATATTAAAACGTTTGACTTTTTCACACGAAGGAAAGAAAAATACAGCATTATAAATGATTAATATCTTACCTGTTGCAACAGCCTCAGTTTGGAGAAACAGTTTAATTCTGACAACTGAAGYGCTACAGGCTAGTGTGAGGAAAATCAAGACCAAAGTGGTTTAAAGTTGTCTTAATTGACACCAAACCCAAACACAAAAAATAATTCATGGTCGTTCATACAAACGCTATTTTGTAAAACTTTACACCATCATTAGTGTCAGGTTTTACAGTCATTCCAACAGAAATATTATGATTTTCATACAGAAAGTGTCCCATGTGCAAATAACCACGTGTTTATAAAATTGTGTTCAGATAAACCACAGTGAAATATTTTAACCTTAAATTTTAAGTCCACTTTGCATTTTGCTCAGTTTAGACCTTCCTCCCCAATGCAGTCAAAATAAAACATTATTTTTCCAAGCTCAAGTTCGTCATAAAGCTATCCATGACAGATAAGATATTTTTTGTTCATAACTTCTCCACAAATCCTCACTTTCTTATTTAACAGGTTATTTTCTGGATTTAAATAAAACACATATTTCCCGATATTTCTGAGTCATTTTTACATCAAATTGGCTGCAAATTTATAATAATTTACTGTGTTTTTATTGTGACAGTATTATTATCTGAATGTTTCTAAAAAATTTATTGGTTTGAATCCTCTCACTGACAGAGTACTGTAAAATCAAAAGCTTACCATTATTTATAAAAATAGTACGCGTTTCCTGTTACCATTTATAAAACTAAGTAACACTTGTGGTATGTGAACCATAAATGGAAATAATTATATTTATATTTTATATGCATTCAGTATGACAAATACTTAAAAAATTAATTATTTAATTAAAATAAAAATGCAGTTTGAACACAACAAGGTATTCTCTTACCCAGACCTAAAAAAATACTCAAATCAATTTCCATATTTTTCAAGACTGCATAGGAAWTTTCTTTTTTAACAGTTGAGGATTATTTCTTTTCATTGAATTAAATCATTTATTATGGAGGACTGAAACTGGCATAATGAAAAATAAAAGCAGAAGCACAGAAATGGTCCAATAAATAAATAAATATACTTAAAATGCACCAATTCATTTAAAAAAGGAGAAATTTAAGCACAATCGTTCTGCACATCCTGCTGCTTCCTGTCTGTTGACCAATGGGAGAGAAGCTGACTCAGGAAGGCCCGCCCACCTTATTTGCCCAAAGAGGCAGAAATGAATAAGGTAAATTAAAAACAGGAGGCAGAGAACTGTAAAAACAACACATGGGAATAAAAAAAGACTTGTGGGAAAAAAACAAAAAAGTTTCCAGAGACACAAAGCG